ACAGACGGGCAGCTTAGCTCTTACCTCGTACCTCCTTTCCTTAATCTCAGGAACTAGACTGCTCTGCTGTGCACCTTGACAAGTGTCTTGTTCACAGCATGGTGGTTCAACATTGTTCACAGCATGGTGGTTCAACATTGTTCACAGCATGGTGGTTCAACATTGTTCACTGCATGGTGGTTCAACATTGTTCACAGCATGGTGGTTCAACATTGTTCACAGCATGGTGGTTCAACATTGTTCACTGCATGGTGGTTCAACATTGTTCACTGCATGGTGGTTCAACATTGTTCACTGCATGGTGGTTCAACAATGTTTCACTGCATGGTGGTTCAACATTGATCACTGCATGTGGTTCAACATTGTTCACGCATGGTGGTTCAACATTGTTCACAGCATGGTGGTTCAACATTATTCACTGCATGGTGGTTCAACATTGTTCACTGCATGGTGGTTCAACATTGTTCACTGCACAGTGGTTCAACATTGTTCACTGCATGGTGGTTCAACATTGTTCACTGCACGGTGGTTCAACATTGTTCACTGCATGGTGGTTTAACATTGTTCACTGCATGGTGGTTCAACATTGTTCACTGCATGGTGGTTCAACATTGTTCACTGCATGGTGGTTCAACATTGTTCACTGCATGGTGGTTCAACATTGTTCACAGCATGGTGGTTCAACATTGTTCACTGCATGGTGGTTCAACATTGTTCACAGCATGGTGGTTCAACATTGCTCACAGCATGGTGGTTCAACATTGCTCACAGCATGGTGGTTCAACATTGCTCACTGCATGGTGGTTCAACATTGTTCACTGCATGGTGGTTCAGCATTGTTCACAGCATGGTGGTTCAACATTGTTCACTGCATGGTGATTCAACATTGTTCACAGCATGGTGGTTCAACATTGTTCACTGCATGGTGGTTCAACATTGTTCACAGCATGGTGGTTCAAACTTGTTCACAGCATGGGGGTTCAACATTGTTCACAGCATGGTGGTTCAACATTGTTCACAGCATGGTGGTTCAACATTGTTCACAGCATGGTGGTTCAACATTGTTCACAGCATGGTGGTTCAACATTGTTCACAGCATGGGTGTTCAACATTGTTCACTGCATGGTGGTTCAACATTGTTCACAAGCATGGTGGTTCAACATTGTTCACAGCATGGTGGTTCCAACATTTTTTCACAGCATGGTGGTTCAACATTGTTCACTGCATGGTGGTTCAACATTGTTCACTGCATGGTGGTTCAACATTGGGTTCACTGCATGGTAGTTCAACATTGTTCACTGCATGGTGGTTCAATCATTGTTCACTGCATGGTGGTTCAACATTGTTCACTGCATGATGGTTCAAACATTGTTCACTGCAATGGTGGTTCAACATTGTTCACTGCATGGTGGTTCAACATTGTTCACTGCATGGTGGTTCAACACATTGTTCACTGCATGGTGGTTCAACATTGTTCACTGCATGGTGGTTCAACATTGTTCACTGCATGGTGGTTCAACATTGTTCACTGCATGGTGGTTCAACATTGTTCACTGCATGGTGGTTCAACATTGTTCACTGCATGGTGGTTCAACTTGTTCACTGCATGGTGGGTTCAACATTGTTCACAGCATGGTGGTTCAACATTGTTCACTGCAGGGTTTGGGTTCAACATTGTTCACTGCATGGTCGTTCAACATTGTTCGCTGCATGGTGGTTCAGCATTGTTCACAGCATGGTGGTTCAACATTGTTCACTGCATGGTGGTTCAACATTGTTCACTGCATGGTGGTTCAACATTGTTCACTGCATGGTGGTTCAACATTGTTCACAGCATGGCGGTTCAACATTGTTCACAGCATGGTGGTTTCAACATTGTTCACTGCATGGTGGTTCAACATTGCTCACTGCATGGTGGTTCAACATTTTTACTGCATGGGGGGTTCAGCATTGTTCACAGCATGGGGGGTTCAAAACATTGTTCACTGCATGGTGATTCAACATTGTTCACAGCATGGGGTTCAACATTTTTTCACTGCATGGTGGTTCAACATTGTTCACAGCATGGTGGTTCAACATTGTTCACTGCATGGTGGTTCAAACATTGTTCACAGCATGGTGGTTCAACATTGTTCACAGCATGTGGTTCAACATTGTTCACAGCATGGTGGTTCAACATTGTTCACAGCATGGTGGTTCAACATTGTTCACAGCATGGTGGTTCAACATTGTTCACAGCATGGTGGTTCAACATTGTTCACTGCATGGTAGTTCAACATTGTTCACTGCATGGTGGTTCAACATTGTTCGCTGCATTGGTGGTTCAACATTGTTCACTGCACGGTGGTTCAACATTGTTCGCTGCATGGTGGTTCAACATTGTTCACTGCATGGTGGTTCAACATTGTTCACAGCATGGTGGTTCAACATTGTTCACAGCATGGTGGTTCAACATTGTTCACAGCATGGTGGTTCAACATTGTTCACTGCATGGTGGTTCAACATTGTTCACAGCATGGTGGTTCAACATTGTTCACAGCATGGTGGTTCAACATTGTTCACAGCATGGTGGTTCAACATTGTTCACTGCATGGTGGTTCAACATTGTTCACTGCATGGTGGTTCAACATTGTTTACTGCATAGTAGTTCAACATTGTTCACTGCATGGTGGTTCAACATTGTTCACTGCATGGTGGTTCAACATTGTTCACTGCATGATGGTTCAACATTGTTCACTGCATGGTGGTTCAACATTGTTCACTGCATGGTGGTTCAACATTGTTTCACGCATGGTGGTTCAACATTGTTTCACTGCATGGTGGTTCAACATTGTTCACTGCTGGTGGTTCAACATTGTTCACTGCATGGTGGTTCAACATTGTTCACTGCATGGTGGTTCAACATTGTTCACTGCATGGTGGTTCAACATTGTTCATTGCATGGTGGTTCAACATTGTTCACTGCATGGTGGTTCAACATTGTTCACAGCATGGTGGTTCAACATTGTTCACTGCATGGTGGTTCAACATTGTTCACTGCATGGTGGTTCAACTTTGTTCGCTGCATGGTGGTTCAGCATTGTTCACAGCATGGTGGTTCAACATTGTTCACTGCATGGTGGTTCAACATTGTTCACTGCATGGTGGTTCAACATTGTTCACTGCATGGTGGTTCAACATTGTTCACAGCATGGCGGTTCAACATTGTTCACAGCATGGTGGTTCAACATTGTTCACAGCATGGTGGTTCAACATTGTTCACTGCACGGTGGTTCAACATTGTTCGCTGCATGGTGGTTCAACATTGTTCACTGCATGGTGGTTCAACATTGTTCACAGCATGGTGGTTCAACATTGTTCACAGCATGGTGGTTCAACATTGTTCACAGCATGGTGGTTCAACATTGTTCACTGCATGGTGGTTCAACATTGTTCACTGCATGGTGGTTCAACATTGTTCACAGCATGGTGGTTCAACATTGTTCACTGCATGGTGGTTCAACATTGTTCACAGCATGGTGGTTCAACATTGTTCACAGCATGGTGGTTCAACATTGTTCACTGCATGGTGGTTCAACATTGTTCACAGCATGGTGGTTCAACATTGTTCAATGCATGGTGGTTCAACATTGTTCACTGCACAGTGGTTCAACATTGTTCACTGCATGGTGGTTCAACATTGTTCACTGCATGGTGGTTCAACATTGTTCACTGCATGGTGGTTCAACATTGTTCACTGCATGGTGGTTCAACATTGTTCACAGCATGGTGGTTCAACATTGTTCACTGCATGTGGTTCAACATTGTTCACTGCATGGTGGTTCAACATTGTTCACAGCATGGTGGTTCAACATTGTTCACAGCATGGTGGTTCAACATTGTTCATTGCATGGTGGTTCAACATTGTTCATTGCATGGTGGTTCAACATTGTTCACTGCATGGTGGTTCAACATTGTTCACTGCATGGTGGTTCAACATTGTTCACTGCATGGTGGTTCAACATTGTTCACAGCATGGTGGTTCAACATTGTTCACTGCATGGTGGTTCAACATTGTTCACTGCATGGTGGTTCAACATTGTTCACAGCATGGTGGTTCAACATTGTTCACAGCATGGTGGTTCAACATTGTTCACTGCATGGTTTTTCAACATTGTTCACAGCATGGTGGTTCAACATTGTTCACAGCATGGTGGTTCAACATTGTTCACTGCATGGTGGTTCAACATTGTTCACAGCATGGTGGTTCAACATTGTTCACAGCATGGTGGTTCAACATTGTTCACTGCATGGTGGTTCAACATTGTTCACAGCATGGTGGTTCAACATTGTTCACAGCATGGTGGTTCAACATTGTTCACTGCATGGTGGTTCAACATTGTTCACTGCATGGTGGTTCAACATTGTCCACTATTGTGGGTGGTATACCAGGGGGTGGTGGTGCAAATACCTTAGGTAGGTCTGGCTTTTGGAATGAGCTGAGGCAGGATAACAGTTCTTAGCTCGTAAATTCAACTATGCAAATAAAAAAGATGTAAGTGGACTATAAGTGGTGATGGAGCGCAACTTTAACTTTAGCAAGTGGAGGTTCCATAGCATTATCTCCATCTTTAGTCTTACTCAAGTTAACGAGCGAAAAAAATATTCTACATGAACGGGGAAAGATATGTTAATGTATGTATGTGTGAAGTGTATGGGTGTGTATAACGTGTATGAGTGTATGTGAAGCGCATGTATGTTAAGCGTGAGTGTGAAATGTAAAAGTGTGTGGAGGTGGGTATGAGTGTGTGTAGAAGAGTATGTATGAGTGTGTGAAAGAGAGTATTTATGAGTGTGTGAAGGAGAGTATGAGTGTGTAAAGGAGAGTATGTATGAGTGTGTGAAAGAGTATGTATGTGTGAAAGAGAGTATGAGTGTGTGAAGGAGAGTATGAGTGTGTGTGAGGAAGAATATGAGTGTGTGAAGGTGGGTATGAGTGTATAAAGGAGGATATGAGTGACCTGATGCCATTCTTGAAGTAAGATAGCATCCTCTTGCTCTCCCATCCCTCTGTCTCACGGTGTTGGACAGGTCCTCCTCCCAACATGTTGTCCAGCTCCACTGTCTTGATGGCAGCCACCCCAGCCTCGTCTGTGCTCGTCTGTGACCCCAGCCAGAAGTGAATATGGATATCCAGCGGTCCACGTGGCGGATGCGGCTGCAACAAACACACAAACACTTAATTTGACGAATAAAGGTTGCAGTAACAAAAGTTATAATAATATAGCTGTTTGTTGAATTGCAAGACTTGTGTACAATTACGGTTAAATGACACTTGTACTGTACAAAGAAAACCGTTATTTACACACGACTTTTCACTCTAGGTATAAGTTTACCATCTCAACTTGATAAAGATCTGCAATATTTATAAGTATACTTCAACTTGAACGTTTTAAACTTCACTTTGAAAATTCCCTTATCACTCTCAGCACCTGGGCCAGACATATCGTGGTCCTTGTTGTTTTAATTTGCTTATACGTATGTGCCCCTTATAGGTTTACATGACTTGATTTAACCCAACCTAACCTAAACGAACTAAAATAAAGATAACAGTATTTGTACTATCACAGGAAATGTCGAGAAATGGACACTGAGTTCCCCGTAATATAACTAACGTAGTAAAATAGGGCTCCGTTGCACAGTCCCCTCAAGGAAGGTTCCTTGATGTTGGTGAGGGGCTCTTGATTTAGGGAATTGGATCTGTGCTCCAGTTCCCCGAATTAAGCCTGAATGCCTTCCACATCCCCCCCCCCCCAGGCGCTGTATAATCCTCCGGGTTTAGCGCTTCCCCCTTGATTATAATTATAATAATAATAATAATCCGTTGCACAGTGATCCCTCGCACAGCAGTTCATTCTCAAACTTAACAACAAGCGTGAGAATATCAACGCTCTTGTAAGCTATCATATGTCCCGAGCTGCCAGACATATGATAGTTTATCATTTCGTCACTGGCAGTTAACTGTAAGTAGGTAGGTAATGTGAGACTTGAGGAGCACTCTGAGCACGTATATCACTCAACGCTCCTAACCTTTAAAATTAACCAATAAATACAATAAACGTAAGAATATCTAGCGAGAAACTAAGAAACCAAAAACTAGAAACACTAAGACACCAAAAACTAGTAATGTGAATGAGACATACAACATAATAAATACTATCACACAAAGTTAAATAACCAGCAACAGTTACAGATCTAATTAAGTTGCTAATGTTGCTAGACTCCTCCAAAAGTTCCCCGAGGTCCCTACAGGCACCCCTGGTAAATCTGAAAACCATGACAAAAGAGAAACCACCTAAGGTGGTGGATAACATTTAAAATGTGTTCCACCGTCAGCTGCTCACCACACGTTACACAGAGAAGAGCAGGAATACCTGCAGACAGGTGGCCATAGTTGAGATGTGTGTGCCCGATCCTCAGTCAACGGTGTCATCTCAAAATGACAATTCCTGTTCAAAAGACAGCCAAACACCCATTTCCCGTCAACTCCTGCATAACATGTTTTTCGTCTGCAGTACCCACCAGGCCCACCAGTTCCCACGGACATATCTATAGATGTGGCTCATGAAGTCACTAAAGCAGAGGTCTGCTTTAACCTAGCTGGATATAGCAGCCTGTGCCTTGCCATGTGTCCTTTTATTCACCGGGACATCAACAAGGCCCGGGACACCAACAAGGCCCGGAACACCAACGTGGCCCGGAACACTAACATGGCCCAGAACACCAGCATGGCCCGGAACACCAACATGGCCCAGAACACCAGCATGGCCTAGGACATCAGCATGGTCCAGGACACCAACAGAACTCCACAACCTTATGGCCCACAGTCCCGGAGTCTGGAGACAACGAAGAATGTTAAACCTCTAGGTCGAGGTTAACTATTCGTAATAATAAGTTAATTTAGGTAGGTTGGGTTAACTTAACCTAACTCAGAATTACTTTTTCGTAGATGTTTGGTCAGGGTAAATCTCAGAAAACTGTAATATATGCACAAATGGCAGTTAAATTTGGAGGACAGGTTGCACACACTGCAATAACGGAATGCTGGTAAATAAACTTGTGAAAACAAATGTACACAAACAATTTCTAACAACAGAGAAAAAAAGTACAAACAAATTAATGAACATAAACAGTTCAGATTGTAAACAGCCAACGACCTGCAAATCTAAATGTATTTTTAAATTAAAAAAAAAATGGGCACATCCGCACTGGCGGCTATCCTGACCTATATGACATTTTGACAAGGTTAGAGTAGGAGGTAACTAGGTTCACCTCCCACACCCATCACGCATGCTGTCATACACCATAACACATGACAGCTTTCATGCAGAAGCAACACAACACTTGCAATATAACATGTCAGAGGTCAGTATAGCAACACAAACACTGCAAGCCAGCAACTGCCACTGATACGTTGTAAAATATGCAAGGAAGTTACAAGTACATTTTAATATGCGATAATGTAAGTTGATCAGTAATCAGTGTCCTTATAAATTAACCTTAAATATATGTGTGTATTAACTAGAACAGTATCTGAATAGTGAATAAGAGTGTGGAAGAGTTTTATTTATTTTTATGTATCTAAGTCGACTATACTACATTCATCACTATGTTACAACAACAGTATCTTACGACCCATCCACAGTGATCAGGTCCCCTTAATTAACCCTTCTATCTCTTCTTCCCTTCTATCTCTGCTTTATTGTACTCCAGTCTTTTCTTTTTTTCCTTTCCCATTCTTTTCTACTTATGGTGTGATAAAAAACATCCCAAGGGAAATAAGAGTGTAAAAATTATTAAAAGAAATACTGTAAGGACATGCAAAGTATACAAGAATTTTTGTAAATCAGAAAGTAAAAAAATTGTAAATGAGAGAGTAATAATCGCTAAAAGGTATAAATATCTGTAAACAAGCGTATAAGAATTTTTCTAAATGCAAGAGTAAAAAACTTGTAAATTAGCGTGAAAAGACTGTAAAAAAACATAAATATTTGGAAAGAGAATGTAAGAGTTTTCATAGTATATATATCAAGAATATATACAATGAGAAGTTTCTCTCTCAGTGTATATATACTAAGACTTTAATTTCTATTTTAACTATTAAAGTATTCTTGACTTGCGGTGCATAGGTGATACAGGTGACACAGGTGACACAGGTGACACAGGTAACACAGGTGACACAGGTGACACAGGTGACACAGGTGACACAGGTGACACAGCCTTCATGACCCTTTGAATAGTGAATAATTTTTAAACGCAGTTTACCAACTGACCTATATACCGAGAATATATACCTGCCTGGAGTCTACCTGGAGGGTATTCCGGGGATCAACGCCCCCGCGGCCCGGTCCATGACCAGGCCTCCTGGTGGATTAGGGCCTGATCAACGAGGCTGTTACTGCTGGCCGCACGTAGTCCAACGTACGAACCACAGCCCGGCTGATCCGGCACCGACTTTAGGTACGTGTCCAGCTCCCTCTTGAAGACAACCAGGAGAGTATTCCTCAGTGTATACACTTAAACTTTACTTTAGTCCCTGTTTTAGAGATTTGCAGATGACACCCGAATCTGCATGACAGTGTCTTCCATTGCAGACACTGCAAGGCTCCAGGCGGATATCAAACCGAATCTTTCAGTGGGCTGCAGAAAACAATATGAAGTTCAACGATGAGAAATTTCAATTACTCAGATATGGTAAACACGAGGAAATTAAATCTTCATCAGAGTACAAAACAAATTCTGGCCACAAAATAGAGCGAAACACCAACGTCAAAGACCTGGGAGTGATCATGTCGGAGGATCTCACCTTCAAGGACCATAACATTGTATCAATCGCATCTGCTAGAAAAATGACAGGATGGATAATGAGAACCTTCAAAACTAGGGAGGCCAAGCCCATGATGACACTCTTCAGGTCACTTGTTCTATCTAGGCTGGAATACTGCTGCACACTAACAGCACCTTTCAAGGCAGGTGAAATTGCTGACCTAGAAAATGTACAGAGAACCTTCACGGCGCGCATAACGGAGATAAAACACCTCAATTACTGGGAGCGCTTGAAGTTCCTGAACCTGTACTCCCTGGAACGCAGGCGGGAGAGATACATGATTATATACACCTGGAAAATCCTAGAGGGACTAGTACCGAACTTGCACACGAAAATCACTCACTACGAAAGCAAAAGACTTGGCAGACGATGCAACATCCCCCAATGAAAAGCAGGGGTGTCACTAGCACGTTAAGAGACCATACAATAAGTGTCAGGGGCCCCGAGACTGTTCAACTGCCTCCCAGCATACATAAGGGGGATTACCAACAGACCCCTGGCAGTCTTCAAGCTGGCACTGGACAAGCACCTAAAGTCGGTTCCTGACCAGCCAGGCTGTGGCTCGTACGTTGGTTTGCGTGCAGCCAGCAGCAACAGCCTGGTTGATCAGGCTCTGATCCACCAGGAGGCCTGGTCACAGACCGGGCCGCGGGGGCGTTGACCCCCGGAACTCTCTCCAGGTAAACTCCAGTCTTGACTTGTAGTTAGGCTAGGTAAGATGTGTCAGGAAACATGACAAGTGTTTCCTGACGCGGGTCTTAGTCATATGATGAACCACAGCTGGAGCTTTTGGTCGTCTGACCGAGGCCTTCCACTGGCTTACCGGTCCACCCCTCTCTTTAAAAACTAAGCTTATGATTATAAACAAATCATTTTTGACTTGTACTGAACAGGTGACATACTTAATGATTCTGACTAGTAGACAGGCTTTAAACCCCATCAACCAACCTCTCTGTGAGGCAAAAAAAAAAAAAAAGTAAATTGTGTTATGATCAAGACCAGGTCAGGTGAGTCTCCTTGAAAAATATATTACAAAATAAGATAAGACAGACCAGGTCATCCATGCCAGCTGGCTTGTCCACCTCAGAGACTGAGAGGATGACGTAGGAGTCACCCTGGTGGAACTTGCCGTAGTCATCACGCTTCAGTGGTACCAACTCCAGCTCCTGTACCGGGAGAGAACATGAACACGTGTATACCAGACATATCCGGAGAGAACATGAACACGTGTATACCAGACATATCCGGAGAGAACATGAACACGTGTATACCAGCTATACCCGGAGAGAACATGAACACATGTATACCAGCTATACCCGGAGAGAACATGAACATGTGTATACCAGACATACCCGGAGAGAACATGAACATGTGTATACCAGACATACCCGGAGAGAACATGAACATGTGTATACCAGACATACCCGGAGAGAACATGAACATGTGTATACCAGACATACCCGGAGAGAACATGAACACGTGTATACCAGACATACCCGGAGAGAACATGAACATGTGTATACCAGCTATACCCGGAGAGAACATGAACACATGTATACCAGCTATACCCGGAGAGAACATGAACATGTGTATACCAGACATACCCGGAGAGAACATGAACATGTGCATACCAGCTATACCCGGAGAGAACATGAACACATGTATACCAGCTATACCCGGAGAGAACATGAATACATGTATACCAGACATACCCGGAGAGAACATGAACACATGTATACCAGCTATACCCGGAGAGAACATGAACACATGTATACCAGACATACCCGGAGAGAACATGAACACGTGTATACCAGACATACCCGGAGAGAACATGAATATGTGTATACCAGCTATACCCAGAGAGAACATGAACACATGTATACCAGCTATACCCAGAGAGAACATGAACACGTGTATACCAGACATACCCGGAGAGAACATGAACACGTGTATACCAGACATACCCGGAGAGAACATGAATATGTGTATACCAGCTATACCCAGAGAGAACATGAACACATGTATACCAGCTATACCCAGAGAGAACATGAACACGTGTATACCAGACATACCCGGAGAGAACATGAACACGTGTATACCAGACATACCGGGAGAGAATATGGACACATGTACATCACCTTGTGTAAAGAGAGAACACACACACACACAGGTCTGGGCGGGGCCAGGAGCCTCAAATCGACCCCTGCAACTACATATAGGTGAGCACACACACAAACACATATACACACACCAAAGTGTACTGACAGAGAACGCACATAAATACAGTAACTCCTGTACCCAGGAAGATTCAAAGGAGCACCAGTTGGGAAGACTGACAAGGAGATCATGTAACTGTAAGGTAACTAACTTTCACTCAAGCTTATATTGCCATAAATATTTTAGGAACCTACATACTATTATTTTTTTATACTTAAAACTAAATATTTATCATATATATTTCTATATACAACATGTGGAAGGGTTACTTCATAACCTTCGTGAATTATTCCAGTAATTATAACACACAGAATGTTATAAAAACATAAGAACATAAGAAAGAAGGAACACTGCAACAGGCCTACTGACCCATGCTGGATTAAACCAATAACCCACCCAGTCTGGTCACCTCTGTCGTAGGGGGTTCGGTAAGGAGATAAGAGGGTTGAAGGTAGACACACTTGTTGGATGGTAACACTATGTATTGTCAGACTGTGATGAGAGGTGGGAGCCCAGGCCTGCCGTGTTCTTGCCTGTTCATAGGTGGTCCGTCGAGTGAGAAGGAGGCAGCTCGTCTCACTGACTCATGCTGTATCCCGTGACGTCATACAGTCACTCGGCCTACTAGGGATCTTCTATATAAAGCACATGGATGGTACTATAATGCTCATCTAATCTATGCATGCAACACATGTAAAGGAGGATCAGCAACTATGCTGACAGCTCGGTCATGTTACGTATGTCGTCTCGACATGCACTACTATGCTATAGGCTGAACAGGCAGGTGGCTCTGGGCTGATTCTATACAATAACAAATCATATATAACTTAGAACTAATGGATGGTATCATAATGAATGTTAACATAATGAGTTTTACGTAATGGGTGTTAACGTAATCACTTTTAGCGTAACGAGTTTCATTGTAATGCATTACAACTTATAAGAACAAATCATTGTACAATATGGATGGAATTGATCGATCGATCTGTATTCTTGTACTCTACGGATTCTGAGGAAATAAATATATATATATATATATATATATATATATATATATATATATACAAGGTGAAATTAACAGCAAAGGCATCTAGTGAGCACTCAGATCATTACTCTCAAATTCTCAGAATACGGAGGGAACGTGAACACGAAAAAAAAAAATTCTGAAAAAAAAAAGTGATCAGTTAATAACAAAGCACACAGTTGACAATTTCCTTCATCTTGGACATCTAATTATACAGACTATGTACATTTAAACCCAATTCTGCGAGGGTGAGGTTTACATATGCAGAATGGTTATCATCTCTGGGAGGATCGAATTCCTCTGCAATGGCTAACACATGTCTTGACTGAGGGAGATCTGAACGAGTATCTACAAAAGATACTTGTGGGTTTCTCATTACTTGTCGAGTACGCAAGGAGTAATGACATTCAGGTTGAATATCTGACTGAGTATTTGAGGTAGAGGGTACAGAGTCAAGAGGATTTTCAGCATCTGTCACATTAGTCTGGGTAGCAATATCATCAACATCGCATACTAACTTCATATGATCTAAATGCGATTCTTTGTACTTACCAGTACTAATTTCTCTAACCTTATACTTATTGACAGAGATATGTTCTACAACTCGATAAGGGCCAACAAACTTTTGATCGAGCTTAGGCATTTCGGATGTTTTGTTGAAATTTGTCAGCATTACTCTTGAACCTACTTTAACTTTTGATGGTTTAGCACGGCTATTAGTAACTCTAGTAAATTCTGCTGTTGATTTATGAAGTGTTTCACGGATTCTTCTAAAAACACTCTGAGCCATGCTTGTACGAGTTGCTACGAAATCATTAGGGTTGTAATTGGGTTTCAGAGTGGAATATAACAACTCATAGGGTAAACGCTTGTCTACACCGTACAATGCATAATGTGGAGTATCATCTATGGAAGCATTGTAAGCAGAATTTATGGCACATTGAACATCTGGTATAACTTCATCCCAAGTTTCACTATTGAGGTTGATAGTGGCTCTCAAGACATCAAGTACTTTCTTATTGGTTCGTTCAGCTAACCCATTGCTTGCAGGATGATGAGGAACAATGGTGGATTTAGAGATCTTGTACAAAGTACACAAATTTTCAAGAATCTCATTACAGAATTCACCTCCATTATCTGTTACTAAAGACTTAGGGGTGGTATGCCTGCAGATAATGCGTTCTTTAAATGCTTTAGCTACTGTCTCAGCAGTCTTATCTGCAATAGGAACTAACTCACAATATCTGGTGAAATGGTCTACCATAACACACAGATGTTTGTTGCCTTGGAGGGAACATTTAAAATTAGTTAACAAATCAAAGGCAACTCTTTCCCACAGTTCGCTAGTGGTTGGGTACACTTAGATTGGATTAGGACCATTGACATTTCCTTTATGTTCCATACAAACACTACATTACTTAACATACTCTGAAATGTCAGTTGCCATACGTGGCCAAAAGTACTTCATTCTGGCTTGTTTCACAGAATGATCTATACCAGGGTGTGCAACACCTGGTGCATCATGAACTAGCTGTAGAGCTACATTCCCTAGAGTCTGTGGAATTACTAACTGGTAAACTCTTCTGCTTGGAGTACCCAACTCGGCTGTTCGATACAGTAATTCTTGGCTCATTACAAAGTCACTGATGGGTGCTGGTGGCTTCACAGTCAGAATAAGATCTTCCTGGAGCAGGAATCAAATCACACCAGACCACATGGGATCTGTTCTTTGGGCATTCTTTACATCCTCTGCAGTAAATGGAGGATCTGCAATAACTACACTAACGTGTCGCGATAAAGCATCTGCGACTACATTTGACTTGCCAGGTAAATGCTCAAAAGTGGGATTGAACTCTTGGATAGTCAAGGTACATCTGGCTAACCTTCCAGTAGGTTGTTTGTTCTGGAATAAAGGTATCAGAGGTGCATGGTCTGTCAAGACATGAACAGGGTACTGGTAAATAATGTCTCGGAAGTGCTTCAAAGACCATACTATTGCTAAAGCTTCTTGCTCCATTACTGTATAATTGCGTTCAGCCTTCATAAGAACTCGGCTAGCAAATGCAACTGCGTTGTACTTGCCATCAGTCTTCTGAGCTAGTACAGCACCTATGCCAATTGAAACTAGCATCAGTTGTCAAACAGAAGGGCTTAGAAAAATCTGGGAATTTCAAAATGGGAGCGGACGTTAGCTTTTCTTTTAGTGTCTGGAATGCTCTTTCTTGATGGAAGGTCCAAACGAAAGGAGCATCTTTCTTAAGCAATTCAGTTAGAGGAGCTGCTATTGAAGAAAAATTAGCAATGAAAGATCTGTAGAAACCTGCTAGACCCACAAAGGATCTTACAGCATCAGCAGTTTTGGGGGATGGAAAATTTAGTACTGCCGTTACTTTACTTTGATCAGTTGTAACCCCTCTAGGAGTGACTACGTGACCAAGAAACTTAATTTCTGATCTGAAAAATTGACATTTAGACAGTTTGATCTTTAAATTGGCTTCTTCAAGCTTACCAAGTACTATATCAAGTCTTTTCAGATGTGTATCCACATCTTCAGACATGACGATTATGTCATCTAAGTACACCATAAGTGCTTTACCTATAAGACCTCTAAAGATATTGGTCATGAGTCTAGAGAACGTGATAGGAGAGGATCGTAATCCAAAAGCCATTCGAAGGAAGTGATAATGACCTGTGGGAGTAGAGAATGTGGTTAACTCTTGGCTGTCCTCGTGAAGAGGGACTTGCCAAAACCCTTGTAACAAGTCCAGGGTCGAGAAGACTTTGTTATCTCCGATATTGCATAAAAGATCACCTAGCACAGGAAGTGGGAAACGATCTGGAATAGTTTTCACATTTAACTTCCTAAAGTCAATCACCGGGCGCCAAGTACCGTCCTTCTTAGGCACTAGGATCAAGGGCGCATTCCAGGATGAATTACTAGGTGCAATAACTCCATCATCGAGCATTTGATTGATCAATTCCTCTGTGACAGCAACTTGGGAATGAGGCATTCTGTATGCAGGTATATAGATAGGTATAGTACCAGGTTCAAGTGGAATACGATGGGACAATAAGTTCGTTATACCCATCTTCTCACCTGGTAAGGCAATGGCTTTACGACGTTTGTTTAACAGTCAACAAATGCTTGACTTCGTCTGGGAAGTCAGTGGGAGCTAAGTCTTTCTCCTCAACTGGTGGAATGGATTGATCCAGTGGAGTGGATGAGGTCTCAACTGTTGAAATAGCACCAACCCACTGGTCAGGTGGCACGTCATCCTGTACTTGAACAGGGTAAGGATAGTGAACCAGGTCAACAAGATTGGTATTTGCTCTGAGACGAACACTGTGACCCAACGTGTTAGCAAGGAATAAATGGATCTTACTGTCTCCTACAACGTGTAAGGAAGGTTCAACAAATAAACCCTTGACCTTGCAGGAATCACTGTCAACTAGGACGCTATCACCATCTGGAACACTAGGAACAACAACAGACACTCTAGTGAGAGCACTAGCTGCAACAGAGACGTCTTTCTGCAGATGGCATGTGACATCAACAAGAGATGGCATTACTAGTTTCAAGTAATCGTTTTCCGACAAGGCGTCCCCTGTGGAGAAACTACTACTTGGACTAGCAGACATTGCAGGGATAGGCTGAGCACTCAAAGCAGTCTGAGCGTCCTCGGACACTTGAGGCAATACACTATCTTGCATATCTGAAGGTGTTGGTGGAACACAGATGGGAGTGACAGCGTTACTAGTGCCTGACCACTTGGGTACGCTACTGGAAAATGCATTGGCTTGTAAGGACTTAATCCGTACATCGTACTCTGTGGCAGTATGGCAGATTTCTGATCCAAGCTGGTAACCCCAAAATGGAATGATCAAGTCGTCAATTTGGGCATGCCATCGGTAAGGGTCGAGCACAATGTGTAAGTCTCGCATGGAAGCAAATCCCAGTAGAAGGTCATCAGGGAAAGTAATCTGGTCAACAACAAGAAAAGCAGCAGTAAAGTCTCTACCTTGGATAGTAAAGGTGAGCGAAGTCTGACCCCGGACACGCAGAAGGGAACCAGCTACTCCACTAAGGGAGGTTACAGTAGTTGGTTCAACGAGGAGGACATGTCGTAACTGCTTCTCTTTAAACAAGCTAGATCTGATGATATTAACTTGTGCACCAGAGTCCATGAACACATGAACGGGAGCATTATGGATAGAAGCTTGTACCAAAGGACCTATCGTTTTGTTAGGAGTTATGTGCAAGCAGAAAGGTGGGTTGTCATCGGAGAAGGCATTTTCTACTTCATCCCCAAATTCCTCTACGTCAGAGACGTGTGAAGCAATATAAGCAGCAGGGTTGTCATTCTCAAGACTGGCTAAGGCTTCATAGGAATTTTGAACTGGGATGGTGTACTCATTATCACCTACTGTCACGACTGGACGAGTAGACTGGGGCACTCGGATTCCCCCGAATTGGAAGAATGAGCCTGGTTCTGGTTAGTTTGAGAACCACGACGTCTGTTTCCTCTCCTGGCTCTGCGGTTGGAACGGCCACGGAAAGATCTAGAGTACTGAAGGTTGTAGAGAGCATTGCACTCAGATGTGTCATGTCCATGTATTCTATGATAAGTACAGTAGGGAAGATCTGACTGGTACTCATCAGTACGACGCCTCTTAGGGTGACTATCAGGACAGTTAATTACAATATGGCCACGGAAACCACAATTGTAGCAAGTTCTTTGACTGTGGGTACTGTACATACTACGGGTGCTACGGGAATGATGGCTGTTAACACTAGCTTTGGATGATGGACGCGAGTGATTAAGGTTGGGAGTTTTGGTAGTAGCACAAACTAGAGGAAGTACAGGAGTAGACAAAGTGGTTGGCGTAGACTTTCGATAAGGGAAGGTTCCCTCGGGACACAAATTTTGTACATGGATGAGAGCTGCGAGCGGTCCCATAGTAGCATTTAGAGGACTAGAATTGTACACATACATAGATGTCGGTGGCATTAGTTGTTTGATAACTCCGAATGCTGCTAATTTAGCAAACCCTCCAAGGGCTGGTTTATCACTATCTTTAAGGTACTTGGAAGTTTGACCCGCTCTAACGAATGAGGACATAAGGTTATTTAGACGAAGGGCAAACTCATTTAATGACTCCTCTGGCCTCAGAGCTGTGCAAACTAGTTCTTTGAGAACGACAAAAGGATCGGTTTCTCGCACCGGTTCAAGATAGTTACGAATTAACTGTTCATAATCTTACCACCTGGTTAGATCTTGAAAGTCCTTCATATGAATTAAGTTGAACACATGTGAGGTGGCTGGAGAACGGGCTAGACTCTCCTTTCCGATACTGATTAAGCAATTCTCTGATGGAAGACCATCAACTGAAGCATTAGCTCTGGCTTGAACAGCAGTAAACCAACCTTCTAGGTTGTCTGGGTTACTATTGAACAATGGCATAACATCATACGGATCACGACTGAAATTACGCAGACTAGAAGTCTGAGTGTGTCTATTATTTGATACAGGATTACTCGAATTGTGAACTGATGCATCAATGGTTGTACTAGCAGCATGTGCTGAGGCATCGCTTGAGAAGACTTGAGACATATTTGCAAAATGTACAACAAGAATTTAGAGAAACTAAAGAAAAGGTAACTGAGGAACACACGACACAGTGAACTTAAATGGGAAGAAAATGCTTAACTATTCTGCATAAGTAATTAAAAATTGACAGGACACACTGTAAGCAAGGAAACTCACACAAGAAAATACTCAACTGAATAAACAACACTTTGAAAATCAAGAGAACTTGTACTTTACTCAAATCTAATTTGCTCAACTTTACTTTAAAATTGAATGAATGGCACAGTGAGTTGTCTTTACTCTCAATGCAATAGGGAAATTCAACAACTATTCAGCAACTATGCTGACACCTCCACTCAAGGATGGAGCACGGCACCAGACCCAGCAGCACAAGCTAGTCAGGTCCAACTCACACCCACCCACACCCACTCATGTATTTATCTAACCTATTTTTAAAACTACACAACTTTTTAGCCTGAAATGTATTAAACTTCACTCTGAAAGAACCTACAGTGGACGTAGATTACCTTATTTTCCAGCATATAAGGCGCACGACAAAAATATCATAACGATAAATCGGTAATAATAGTCAAGGGTTAATTACCCTCTTACTTTACGCTAAGGCATAACCCTACTCTTGACCCTGATCTTGAGCATATAATGTGCACGCTGATTTTCCAAGACTTTTTGTGAGAAAGAAGGCGCGCCTTATATACCGGATAATATGATAATTCTTCTGTTTATAAACTTCGAAGAATAATGAGTTGAAATAAAACATTAAGCCACTAGTAATACATAGGCGTTGGGGATGAAGGAGTGGGGAAGATGAGGTGGGAGAGGAGGCCGTGACACAGGAAGCCACCAGAGGAAAACGTAGTGGAAGAGAGAACATGAGTGTGTAGAAGAGAACGTCGAGGAAGAGCGAAACTGACCTCGACCCGCCAGATAATGAAGCAGGTGGAGTTCTTGGGGATGACGTTGAACGCTGGGTCCTGTACCGGGTTACCCATCCTGCAACACACGTTCTTTCTCTTAATATAACAACAACAACAACAACAACAACAACAACAATCAATAATAATAATAATAATAATAATAATAATAATAATAATAATAACAATAATAATTGATATCTACATGATACATTGTTTTCAAATACTGTGGTGCACGAGACAAGTTCTTGGCTTTGTACAGTTTTTCTAATATGAATGTGATGAATTACACAGCGTTAACAAATTCTTGGCATTTGACTCTCATTCTCGAAGGGCTGATCATCAAGGTAGCGTACCTTGATGCTGGCTAGAGGCTCTTGACTTTCTAGAGGGGATGGTCAAGGGAATGTGCCTTGATGCTGGGCAGAGGTTTTTGATTTAAGGAACTGAAGCTGTCCTCACCTTCTTTGGATTTAGTGCTTCCCTATGATGATAATGACGATGATGATGATGACAATAATATAATAATAATAATAATAATAATAATAATAATAATAATAATAATAATAATAAAATTTAGAGTAAGTACGAAATAAGGCACCACCTGAGAACCATCTGAACGCCACCATTACCTGAGCACCACCAACATCACGTAAGAACCACCTGAGCACCACCAACACCACCTGAGCACCACCAAAACCAACTGAACACCACTTGAGCACCACCACCACCATCATCACCTGAACGCCACTTGAGCACTACCAACACCATTTGAACACCACCTGAGCACCAGCAACAACACCTGAGCACCAGCAACACCACCTGAACACCATCTGAGCACCACCTGAGCACTATCAACACCACCTACATAAACTCCAGGCGCCAGACGGGCCCCCGCTTTACAACAAAATCAATGAGCTAATTCCGTTTCCCTTCCTTCACCTTGTTCTTATCCTCTACTTCACCTTGTTCTTCATTCTCTCCTCCACCTTGTTCTTTATCCTCTCCTTCACCTTGTTCTTCATCCTCTCCTTCACCTTGTTCTTCATCCCTCACCTTGTTCTCCCTCACCTCTTCCATCTTGTTCTTCCTCCTTCACTTTGTTCTCCCTCCCTCACCTTCACGTTGTTCTTCCTCCTTCACCTTGTTCTCCCTCCCTCACTTTGTTCTCCCTCCCTAACCTTGCTCTTCCTCACCTTTACCTTGTTCTTCCTCCTTCACCTTGTTCTCTGTCCCTCACCTCCTCCACCCTGTTCTCCCTCCCTCACCTCGTCTCCGTCACAGTATTGCCCAGCACTTCGATCACTGCTGCAGGGGTTCACTGCCTCAGGTACTGAGTAAAACATTGTACACTGCAACATGTCTGGGGACGACACAGGACAGGAGGGTGTCACTGGTTAAGTGAGGACCTCACTCTCAAACCACTCAACCTTCCTGCTAGCTTGTCCTTTGCCATGCACGATGGCCCTGGCCTTTGCCATGTACGTTGACCTGGCCTCTGCAATGTATGTTGACCTGGTCTCTACCATGTTAACTGGCCTGGTTTCTGTCGTGTACGTTGGCCTGGGTGCATCTTACCTACACTAACTATATTTCACCGTCATATTACAAAAGAATGGTGGATATTCGATCCTCCGTCCGCTAATTGCGCTGTTGGTGATCGCAAAAAAAAAGGTAATGCTTAACTGCACTCTCACGTTACCTTCACTCATGTAATACACACCAGCTACTAGAAAAAAGCGCACATAAACACGTTATTTTATTAGCATATAAAGAGGCATATATAAGAACTGCTTTAGAAATGTCAACAAGGAATCATTCATTATTTTGCAAGTTTGGTACTGATCCCCCTAGGGTTTTCTAAGTGTATATTATCATGTATCTCTCTTGTCTGCGTTCCAGGGAATACAAATCAAGAGATTTCAACCGTTCCCAGTAATTTAGGTGCTTTATAGTACGTATGTGTGCCGTAAAAGTTCTTTGTACATTCTCCAGGTCAGCAATTTCGCCTGACTTGAAGGGGGTAGTTAGTGCACAGCAATATTCCAGCCTAGAGAGAACAAGAGAATCATCCTGTGCTTGGCGACACTTTTATCTAAAAACGTGTCCCAGCTGCAAATTAATTTGATCTGTTTCCTTACAATATCTACATAACCAACAGTTTATTCCCGATATCCCTAGAGAAATTTCTTTTCCATCCTCAAGCTTGACCGAATGTCACATATAACAGGCATATTAGCATTTTCTTTAATTAATCTTTGCTAAGGCTTGCCTAAAATTTTCTGCCGGAAATGCTGTATATGTCAAGTACATTTTACAAACTTAGATGTGTGTATAATGTTGTGAAAACAATGAAATTTAACTAGACATTTTTAGAAACTCCTTCTTTCTATCTTCCCTCAAACAGCTAGCTCATGCACTCACACAAACAAGGAATCTTTACATATATCCAGACGGAATATTGTTCATATTCTTTGCAAAATCTTTTAAAGGAAGACAATCTGTTTTTCCCATATCACTATAGTCACGATCCACGTTTTTCAACTAAAAATACTCAACAAAAACAATATTGTATATGATTATCTTCCGACATTTCTCACTGTCATCTTCGTTTAGTCCCGAATTAGCTGCCCTACACTGAGTCCTATTTATCATCTCTACATACTTCATCCTCTATTTGCATTTGCATTTTCCGTGATTTCATGAAGCCGGTTAGAATTTTATTGTATTCTTCCCTCGGCAACTGTATCATCCTCATAATTTTTTTCTTCTCTGATTCTAACTAATGACGATGTTATTCTAGTCTTACAACTTACACCATTATTAAGTAAGGAGACACATGTGTAAGTAATGCGACATTTTTATTGTAGTAACGTTTCGCTTTCCAGGAGCTGTGTCGCATCAGTTGCACATGCATCCTTTTATTGTAGGTAATTCTACCAACATTATTACAGACATTATTATTAATCAGTCAAGCACCAACTAACTATTTGTTCACATCATTACATCATGAGTAGTATCATATATTATCACATCGTTATTCTTACCATTCCTCTTTTGTATGTCAATATATAAATGTTTATCATCAAATAAACGATTGATAACTGCCACTGATAAGTCCCAAGTCATCTGTGACTTAACACTGATTAGCTGCAGGTCGCCTCTAACTAACATTTACCACTGAAATTCTGCGCAAGTGACACACTTTACACATACCCCGCATCAGTTTCAATTACAGTTAGCCAACATTGACTCCCATGTACAGTGCCCCAAGAGCTGGTACACCACCCTCAGGATAGTATGGTCCTGCCGGGCCGGGGCCATATACGGGCCGGGGATAACGGGTATGGCACTATATTGCGTAGAGGAGATGCTGGTGTTACAAAAACTCAAGAAGATTATAGTTCTGGTGACAGGAAGGTTCAAGTGTCATGGCAACGCCCAAGATGCTGGGAAGATGCTGAGCCTTCATGTGATAACTGAAAAGATTATTAGATACTGATGTACCGTTGTTGCATTGTTATATCTGTCTTCATTTTCATGTCTTTCTCGTTTGTCTTCCCAATAAGTGTATTTCTTTTACTTAAAATTATTTTATTTCATCTTTTCTTTTCTCATTTTGTGACTTTCTGTACATCATGAATGTAATTCAGATTCAGACCCAGTGCTGTTGTGCTTTGTTCTTATATGTTCCGAAGTCTTCCTTACTACTGTCGTGACAGTACAGCTGCGCTCCGCAACAAACAACATTAATGTATAGTAAAACACGAGGCCACCTATATTATCCTTGTTTTTTTAGCTTCTTTCTTCAGTATATGACCTGAATATGCACGAAGAGGTCTTCTCTCGTATGTGTATTCACCTTGCAACTTTCTCATTGTGTTTGCCTCAAAAGAAATTAAAACAGTTTAATGAATGACTCAAACACTATATTTATTGTTTCTACGTGTTGTGTTGCAAGATGTGCAAACAATACACAGAAACACTGACGTGCAAACATTACACACAAACCTGTCACACGCTTTGCACTGACAGGATAGTTGAACTTTCCTTTCGGTCTCATAAACACATAAGATGACAGGCAAATTTTACAGCCGGGCTGTGGCTCGTACGTTGGATTGCGTGCAGCCAGCAGTAACAGCCTGGTTGATCAGGCTCTGATCCACCATGAGGCCTGGTCACAGACCGGGCCGCGGGGGCGTTGACCCCCGGAACTCTCTCCAGGTAAACATCCATTTTACATTTACTGTTACTTTTATTTATAATTTAACAATTCTTTACTCCTGTATTATTTATTTTCAAGTTTAGTCGAGCTGACCTGAGACGCGGCCACTTGATCGAGGATCACCGACAAAACCAGCAAAGAGGAAACAATCAAGCACTCTTGGTATCCTCCTGGGGTGTTGGTTTTTACAATGATCCATCAACTTTGTGTCCGTGATTGTAAACAAACCCAGAAACACATACAATATAGATTGGTGCAAAAAGTCAGTGGCCTGCGGTTGGGGTGGCGGAAGTGCATGACGTGAGGTAGCAGGAGGGCGGGATATGTATTACCATGCCATAAATAACGATCACTATAATAATAACTAAATGTTCTACCTCAGTATATTTAAAAAATGCAGATATTTGTTAGGCGTGTGTTTTGTTGGCTCTGACCCATCTTTTTGGATTAGTTAAACTTCTGGACCAAACAGACAATGAGGTACCTTTATTGTCGAAACATTTCGCCCACTAGAGGCTTTATTAATCCATCAACAACAGAGGCATCCATACATACACACACACACACACACACACACACATATATATATATATATATATATATATATATATATATATATATATATATATATATATATATATATATATATATATATATACATATATATATATATATATATATATATATATATGAATATATATATATATATATATATATATATATATATATATATATATATATATATATATATATATATATATATATATATATATATATATATATTCAACAAGTCGGCCGTCTCCCACCGAGGCAGGGTGACCCAAAAAAGAAAGAAAATCACCAAAAAGAAAATA